CGCGGGCCACGAGCGGCGGGACCGGCCCTGCAGGTGGCCCCAGGCACGGGCCGCCCGGCTCGGTGCTCACGTACATTTCGGTCTGCGTGTCCGAGAAGCTCTGCACTTCAGTCAGTTTTCTCCTCAGCTTGGCGTTCTCGTCCTTCAACTACGGACGAAGGACGCCCCCGTCAGGGCCTCCGAACGCCTCTGCCGGCCTGTGCGGCGGGCGCGGGGTCAGGGCCCGGCTGCCATCTAAAGCTGCCGCCACGAGCTTCGGCCGCGGCCACTCGCAGCCCTTCTTTCTGGGTCCGGCTGGCCAGGCCACGTGCGAGGTGCCAGCGGGCACCTGAGGGCTCAGCAGCCAGCCCTGGCCGGCACACGCCACCGTGCCCACCCTCGCGCACCCTCCACGGACGCCCGGACGGGCCCCGGCCTGCACTTACGGCTTCGTAACTTATCTGCAGTGTCCGGAGGTGACGGTCCCCCAGAGACTCCCCGTGGGGCGCAAAGTCTGCGCCGGGACTGCCCACCGGGGTGACGCGGGAGTCGGAGTCGCTCAGTGTCCAGGAGGGCAGCGACTCGGGCCCCGCCAGCTCCGACGGGGTGAAAAAGGACACGTAGGTGCTGCTGGCGGGGGACGTGCTGGCGGCCGCCCTGGAGGCGTGGGTCTGCTCCACCGCCGACGGCAGGTAGGCCCCGTTCCACCCGTCCTCGTCTTCCTCCTCGTCCAAGAGGTCGCCCGCCCCCGTCGGGTCCTCAAAGAATGGCTGTTGGTACTCCAGGCCATAGCCCCCCGTCGAGGGCGCAGGGGAGCTGAGGTCAAGTCCCAGGGGGTGCCTAGGGGCCTCCTGCGGGCGCAGTGGGAGGGAGCGGGCTCAGGCCGGGAGGCCACCACACTGTGTCCCGCCAGTGTGACCTGGGGACGCGAGGCCCGCGCTGTCCACCGTGAGGGACGCAGACGCTGCCCCGCCACACGGTGGACCCGTCCCCGGAGCGTCCCCACATTGTCCCCCGGCCCAGGCTTACCTTCGGGTAGATCCTGCCGCTGGCCGTGTCCTCTTTCGACAGGCTGAGGCTCTTCGTTTTCAGGAACTCTTTGAAGGAGAACGGGTTCGCCTCTAGGTCCTCCAGTTTATCGTCTGCAACGACAGTGGACGCCGAGAGCAGTGAAGCCTGCCGGGAAGGGGCCTCCAGGTCCGTTCCTCCACTGGGGCTTCGGCGGGAACGCGCGCCCCGGCGGACTCGGGGCGCCGGGCGGGCCCTTAGCTCGAGCCTGGTGAGAGGTCAGGCAGGGCCCGCCTCCGTAGCGACCGTCTCGGCCGTCGGGCTCTGGAGACCCGTCCGCAAGCCTGAGCAGAGACTCGCTGCGCTTCTGAGTCCCCAGTTCTCCTTCGCGCTCCGGAGACGCCCTCCACGGTCCCGCCTGGGAGCCGTGCCCCCGTCCAGCGGGCGGTGGGCAGCGGCTGTTCCTTTCCTCTCGGCCGCCCTCTCCCTGCGCCCCGCGGTGGGTCACCTGCTGCGGGCGCCGCCTGGAGTAAACTGGCTCCGGGGCTGCAGCGCCCGGCCCCTCGCGCAACAGCTCCTCCTGCCTCAGTGCGCCTGCCCTCCTGCGCGGGCAAGCGCAGGGCCCTGGCCCGCCGGGGCTCCAAGCACAGGCCGCCGGGCAGACAGTCACTGCCAGGCCCTGCTGGCCGCGGAGAGGGCGGAGCAAGCTACTCTACCTCCAAAACGTGTCTCCTGCGCTCCCGCTGGACCTTGCTTAGCGCACTTCCCCCTTCCATAGCCAAAATCTGCAAGAAAGGGCCGCTGCGGTCAGCGCGACGCCCTAACAGTCCGCTGCGGGTCCCTAGCGGCTGTCCGCCTGGCAGCCCCTCTCGTGAACTGCCCCGGCTCCTGACCGCCGGCGCCTGACCGGCCGGGCCTGGCGCGGAAGG